GTCCTCTACAAGAAAGGTTCTATACAATTTTCCCGTAGATTCGACGGTTTAAGAGTAATTAAGGAAAAATGAAATTTTTTGCCAAAAGTTCGCCGTTTCGGCGCTGGGATGGTCGGATTTTGTCAACATCAATAAAATGCCAAATAATCATACGTAATTCGTTAAATATCGAAGTTAGAAGGAAAACAACTTTTATTTAAAGCATTTTTCGCAATTTTGAAAAAAAAATTTTTCGTCAGCGTCAATACTCAATTGGATATTTCCTTCTATACTTTTTAGCACGTAGCTATTTATTATTAGCATTATTCTTCCGACGTCTGATTTATTTTTAATTATAGGAAATGCGTTTTTCTAAGACACATAATCTTTTGGGATTGACTGTATAGCCAATACATCCTTAATCTGCCATAAGTTTTGAAACTTCAGGAGTTTCAATTATATTAACATTAAACCGAAGTACATTGACGTAAACATTAGTGAATTACAGTTAAATATATCAGTTGAGGTTACACGTATACAGTGCAGGACACTATATCTACTAGTGCAATCACGTTTTATGATAAACTTCCTTGCGGAACAAAGGGAATGAAACAAACTGCTCAGCTCATTTGCATCTACGTTTAATTATCATACGCATGCGAAGCCTATAAATTGCGTAGCTTTTACGACTCCACATGATTGCATATCTAGTTACGAACAATGAAACCGAGTATCAAACGTGATATTTCGTAGTTGCTTATAACCAATCACGTAAAACCGACCACACCATTAACTTGCATTACAGTCCGAAAATAATGGAGTCGCTGAGAAATAAACAGCAAATGAGGATCTAGTGTAAAGTTTTTTGTTTTTGGAAGGGAAGGTTGTTAGCGGGTTAAATTATTGTATAGAAGAAGGTGACGGCATTATAGCGGGTTAACGAGGTTTATTAAGCTGAACGAAATTGCGGCGGCCCGGAAACGGGACGGGAGTTCCGTTTAGAGGCTTCTAATTCGAGTGGTGGAAAATAATAAGGGCCAGCAATTACGAGTGTTACCCGGCCGATATTAATATCCGTTTACCCAGCGTCAATTATGAAAAACTGCGCTTTCATTTCGGCCATCCACTTCTCAGTTACCTCTTTCACGCTCAAAGCCTCGAGTGCTTTTTCCTTTTCCAAACCGAATTAAGGGCTAACGATCACCGTCCTTCGAGTCCTCAGAAAGTTAGAAAATCAGTGTGTATACTCTGGATCCGGTGATTCCCATTGCACGAAACTCGAAATTTACTCGACGTGCAAATGCACGTTAAATTTATATTATAAAATGAAATAAGAACAGAGCTGGGAAAGAACTGGTTTCAAAATTAAATTATCGTCGGTTATTGAAACAAAAAATAGTTGCGACATTTCCATGAAATAAATTCTTGAATCTATTCCATACGCTCTAACCGATATCATAAAACGGTATAGGAAAGCGTACACGCAGATGGAAAGAGCATTAGTGGTAATTTTGAATCGTCGCGTTCACTTTTATAGTATGCTAATGTGTGGGTCGACGCGGGCCATAAGTCGGCGAAATGAGCGAAGTTTTAGAGCTCTTGGAATTGAAATCGGGACCCCGGGATCTCGTTCGAGATAATACATTTAATTACATCACATTTTCGAGCGTAAGACAAAAGAAACTTCTAAGGGAAAGAATTTTTACGAGTTTCTTCTTCTTCTGAAAACCAGAGGAAATGACGTTTCCTTTACGATACGAACGGTCTCTGGCCAGGATCATTGCCTATCTTCGATCATGAGAACGAGTGGGCCGTGAACGAGCCAGTGAACGACCGCGCGAGGATTATTTTCAGAGTCGGATATAGCAGGGACGAAATTAAGTATCCACACACTATCCTCAGAAGGTTATTTATGCCGGGCAGAAAAAATAAAAGAACTCGAGAAGAAAGTTCATTACCCGACAATAACCGAAACGAAATGATCATTGCGATAAATGTGATAAAATTGACGAAACTCGTAAACCGATGACGTGATAGAAACAATCGAGAAGAGCGTAATCTTTGAAAATCGTGGATGTCCTTGAAACGGATTGGCCACTTTGACAAAAAGGTTACGGCGCACCGCGTTCACCCGCAATCCAATATCCGTCTATAATTCATAAAGCGAAAGCCGATAATCTATGGTAAAACGATATCCAGTCATTTGGACGACGTCCTTTCACGACAATTTGTCTGACATTCAATTCGCCGCCCACAGTCGACTGTTCCGATCTTACTCTAGGAGCCTCGAAGGATACAGGACGATCTCGAGAATGAAGAACAACAAGCCGCTGGAGAAACCGATGATCGTCAAGAGAAAGGCTGGCGCAAATTGTTGAAAATGAAGCTCGGTCTTGTATTCCTGTTCTTTCGCGATTTGTAAGTGCATAGCGCGTTTGCGCTTTGCTATGGCTTGCTCTATCATGAAGTTGATGACGCCTCCGCTTGTTAATTGCTGAATCTTTTTGTTGATGTCGTCGATATATGGGAATCCTTCCCAGATGGCTAGAGCCAAAGGATACTGGCATATCATTTCCGTGGTCATGGTGTACGCGTACTTAGTCTCGATGGCACTGCTCCGCGAAGAGTTCAAGAAGGCTATCAACGCGAACGAAGAGTTCGTTCCATCGAGGAGATCGCTCAATTGCTGCACATACTGTTCGTGTTCGAACGCGACGAACCTTTCTTTGACCTTCAGTATGTCCTCGTCCTCGTCGTAGTTCTCCAGAGCGAGTTGAAAAACCATTGTGCCGCCGAGTTGGAAAGACGACGACAGCAATTCGCTGGTCGTCTCGATCCTGTGATCCGCCGTATTTATCAGCTGATCCGCTAACGAGTCCACGTAGACTTGCGTGAGGAACAGCCCGAAGATGTTCCACGCGAGATATTGAATCCTGGTCGAGAGCCTTCTCGGCTGGCGAGCGGTAGAGGATCCAATTATCAGCGCGAATATATCCAATCCGGACAGGTCTAGATTGACGAGAACCTTGACGAGGACGCCTAAGAGCAAGGAGGCGCCTATCGCTGCCCAGACGTACGGTTGAAACGGATGAATGAGTCCTTTCAAGGAGATGTTCGGCACTTTTGGCACCACCCAGACTACCTTCAGTATATCGTAAGTAATAGAGTAACCTACGCCGGGGTACGATTTCTCAAGAATGCAACCGATGATTACATCTGCCATCACGTCGTTGTTCAAATACATATACACCTGTTCCTCGAGGCTCGAGTTACTGATCTCCTCGATTTTTTCTCTCACAATCTGCTTCCCCCTGAACACTTCCTCCGTTAATTTACCCTCGAAACCCTGCAACTCTTCAGAATCGTTCACCGCTGTCACGTAGGGCGCAAAGTCGTAGTATCCTATCTTCAGGAAGCATCCGTTCATTTCTGGCGGCTCGATCGGCTTCATCAACTTCCAAGAACCGTCCTCATGACATTTGTCCAAAATAACCGGGTAAGACGGGGTGCACGGCTTGTCGGGCTCGAAGGTGACGCTACTGGCAGCGTACAGGGAATCTCGAACTCTTGCCAAGACGATGACAATCGCGATTCTTCGGCTCCACATCGACTGCGCGAACGCGTCAACCTCGGAAAGGAAACTGTCCTCATCTTCAAATATCGTTGACCATAACGTGACGAAGGGACAGCTACGATCGCACGGTTCTAAAACGTAGAAAGAATCCTCGAGGCTGCTGGCATTGTTCATTATCATGATCGCGTTAAATGCTACTTTTTGCAGAGCTACGTCGAACATCGTGTCCATACTGTGTTTGTAAAACGCGTAACGATCGTCGAGGCTTTCTTCCAGCAATCGAAGCATGTCGTTGACCATCCTCCCGTCGTCTATGATGGGAAAAGTCGTGTACGCTGTCTCTGCCAAGTACTTCGTCAGGAAATTTGAGATGCAGGGTATCGCCTTTAGAAGTGCATGGCGGACGTCTTCGTATTTCCTCAAGCTCTCGACAATTAATCTCCGATCACCGCCCGTCTCTTCTTCAAATCGTTCTACTTCATTGTCAATTTCGGGCACGACGATGGCCCACGAACGCGTGAAAACGAGGACGAAGAGAAAATGCAACATTTTCGCTCGGGGACAAAAACGAAACTGCGCTTCGACGAACTCATAAGCGACGCGTGTGTCGCGTAAGTGATTCGTTTGAAGATAATTGAGAACATGTTCTTCAGATATTCATCTAACGCGGCTCGTTAGACACTGTGATAACCCTAACGAATTCCGACGAAACCGCGGACTTTCATTTCATCCATGAACCAAAACTGATCTCCTGTCAATATCCGATATCGATCCCAAGGCCGGAACTCTATTTTTTGGGATGAAAATGAAATACCGTTGTTTGCACAGCGGTCGCGTGTCACCCTCGCCGCCGCAATTGCGCCTATGCAAATACTCAGTACACGTATCCGAAACACGTGACGCTGGGAACGCAACCGAGTTCCGTCCAAGGTCAACGTTTGAAACGTCGTGATGCTCGATTCGAGTTACATTTTATTTCAACGACCGAGACGCTTTTCTATTCTATTTGGACAAATATTTTGGACCAGGATCGAATAAAAAATGAGTGCGAGGGATGGCCGGCGTGGAGGATTGTATTGAAACACTAGTCTTTGTCTTTTGCAGGGCGTTCGTGAGGATTTTGTGCGCCTGCTGCCCGGGACGGATGAAACGGCGATATCAACCGGCATTCAGATACAAACCAAGTCAAGTGAGTATGAAATATTCATATTTCCCGTACGAATCGTACGGCAGCGTAGGTATGCATATGCGCAACACCCGAAGGTTCCAACCTCGGAAAACAACCGTGGATACCATAAATTTCGACCGAGTCACGTTCCTACGGTTTATCTCGAATGCAATGGCCAGTCACTCGCCGTATTTGTATTCGGCGAAGGGACAGCCCAACCTCCTTAACGAAACTCGTAGCTCGATTATTGCGGAGCCAACCACTGTCATTGTAGCTCCCCTTTTGTATTAGGGAGAACCCAGGGACGTTTCCAGTGTCGTTTTATAGGTCCGACCCGGACCAGCTCTATTGTTCGCATTTCTAATTTATACAATCGACAGGAGAACTGGGAAGACGATCGCAATTAGTTCCTTTCTCCTTTCAGTATTTTTAACATTTATTTATCTGGCCTGGAATAACATTTTATTATTAGACTTGTTATTAACAGACTGTAAATTTTATTGAAATCGAGTAACGCTGCATGCAATGCATATTTTTCTATATTGATCCTACGAATATTTTACTTTTCATAAAAATCTGCAGTGTATTAGTGAGATGCGGTGAGAACGTGCGAGCTTTCTCACCTATCCATTAGATTAGATGAATCGACTTGGAAACCGTCGAGTCAGTCGATCGATGCCGATGGATTCCCGATGAATCTCAGACGTTCTCGGACTGTGTCACGACGTCGTAACAGCTAGTGATCAAACATTCATTACTCCGGTGGAACGCGCGGCCTAGCGATTTTTCCCAAAGTAGAACGACGTCGTCCTATGCAACTTTGATTCACTTCCCGGAGAATAGCTCATGAGTCGCTTAAACAAACGCTTGGGAAAATTCTCGCAAAGTTTGCAGTTTCTTTAAACGTATTTAATTGCAATTTTTATATAGAAAATAACGGCATTCTTAATTAATGCTCGAGGAGATTCTTGTACGAATTTTTTCTTCGAACGCTTCACGATCGTTTGTAATTAATTTAATACGGAAAACAGTAGTAGATAACGAGCTCGTGTTCTTGTCGATTCTAAACGCACCTTTGGAAGAGCAACAGGCGAGAACAGACGACGAATCGTACAGAAATCGGCGCGAAACGATTTGCGGGACTTATTAGAGGACGAAAAGCGGTCAAGGAAAGCGCAGAAGGGCCGCATAAAAACGAGTTTCAGAGCCAGCCGAGGGAAAGAAATTTATTATTCCAATTGATAAAGTTTTCAACTTAAGGAGATTCCCGGATAACGCTGTCCCGTTTAACCTCGCAAAGAAACTTAGAGCGTATCTGTGCTCTACTTCAGATTCAGGGATCGTTTGTTTTCTTCCGGTTAGATAAAGCTCGCCGGTTTTCAAGAGGTTCGTTTGAAAATTGGGTATCCAGGTAAATATCACGGTAACCGTATCGAATATAAATGCATCTCGAATCGTCAAGGGAAATAAGGACTCGGATACCTTCGGTGAAATGTGAATTCCAAGTGTACGGTATCGGTTTTCCTACTTTGAAAAACTTGCTCGATCCTCGGAACGAACCGCGTTTTCGCGTGACCTCCCGATGAGTACCGCGTGACCCGTCTCGAACTTTTCTTATTTATTAGGAGGAGCGAAAAGTTCGGAGCAGCCGAGGAGGACGAGACCGAGAAACATTTCATCCACGTAATTCCCTACCGCGAATTAGATTTACTATTTGCGTTCGATTTGCATATAATTTCGCGACGCCTACACGGGCATGGCTGAACAAATACCTGCTCGCGATACCCGGTTGCAAACTTCTAAGCTACTTCGGCTGCGATACAAGCAATAACGTTGCATTTCCGATAAAATATTCGGTAGTTACTTCGCACGCTCTCTACTACGCTTCCTCGAACGATCTTCGTAAAAAGTTTACTCTCGAATCGCCTATTTCAATCCGAGCGGTCGGGAGGAGGGAGTTTATTATTATTCTATGTAAAGCGTGGATTGCACGGAATTAGGAAATTCAATTCGATTAATCTGTGTTGACTCGGGGATGAGAAAGATATCTATCGAGAGAGGCCTCTATTCTATTTCAATAGGTGATCACGATATGATGACGGATGCTGCAAAAGGAAAAGACGAATCGCTCGGAATTACAAAACTCAATTGAATTAATCTGTATTGACTTCAGATAATGAAACCATCGGAATTGAATGTACACTCGAATTCTGACTATGTATGGGAAGACCGTGAGGAAGGACGGAAGCTGCAAAGGGGGAAACGATGGTGGTATGTCGCAGATCGCATCGAGTGTATTACTATTTTTTCAGAGATTCACGTCGGGAAGGTACTACTCCGCTTATTCGCTCCACCACGTGCGAGGCAGCCGAGAGAGTTCGTGCGAGCAAACCTACATTTAACGATGGGCGACTTGGATTATCGTCAGTCGTTGGACACCTCCTCGAAACCTTTCTAGAATCCTCCTTGTCCTACCATCCGTCACCATCAAAGCATCGTCCGCTCCTCGGACAAACCCTAACCCCGAGTAATCGCCCCGGAGATACTTAGAGTACAGTGATCGATATCGACGAAGGACTCTATCACCAACCCCGTATAACATAGTCTCGGTATGTTGATTAGTGAATGGATTTATCGATCACAGACACACACACCTTACACGAGTACATGTACGAGCACCTGCACCGCTAGCACAGGTCAGTACACGGTCAGTGTTTGGTATGCCCACACCCACAGCACCCTGTTCGCTTTACGACCGACTGAAACAAACTAATACTTCTTCAGAAAAATTAACAACTTCGTATCCTACAACTCGTAATCAATTGCTTTCAATTCATTGCAAAAAATCATAATTATCTCTGCAGATCTTATGCATTCACTTGCACAGAAAATACGAATATACCGTAGCGGACATAAGTTGAAGACCATGATATATGCATGAAGAGATTAATTGTTTTATTAGATTCATATAAGGAATATAAGGT